AGAGGGAGAGAGAGAGAGACAGAGACAGAGACAGAGTGTGAGCAGGGGAGGGCAGAGAGACACAGAGACACAGAATCCGAAGCAGGCTCCAGGCTTTGAGCTGTCAGCACGGAGCCAAATGCGGGGCTTGAACTCATGAACAGTGAGATCATGACCTGAGCCAAAGTCAGACACTTAACAGAGTGAACCACCCAGGCGCCCCACAAGTAAAATATTTCCGATTTACATTGTAGTTTGACAGTTGTTTTGAGGGAAAGCATGTCTGCAATGATCTGATTGTGAGCTGAATTAGAAGTTTTTCCCAGGGATCACTGTTTTTTCCTGAAAGAACAATGGATTAACTATGAGACTGCGATAAACTGTGGTGAACAGATAAACTGTGATTGGTCAGACTTGAATTTTTGGTAGGTATTGTCTCAAAAACAAATGAAGCGAGATTGTCATTTCATTACATTGAAAGTATTTGTGGCCAATAATAACATTTGGGCTTTCAACCAAAAAGTAGATATCTGGAAAACTTGTATCTACTATCATGAACTTGACAGCTTCCCAATATTTACAGATTTTTTCTGAATGAGATTGTGATGATGGTAACTGTTGTGATTTTTGACACTGTAGAATAAAATATGTCAACATTTGGAAAATCTACATAACTCAGTGAACTAATTTTCAAATGATCAATACATGATGTTTAAAATAATGTATGGGTTAATAATCCATTGAGAATGCAAGATAAAGAAATGGGCTCTAATCTAACAGTATGAATGAATGTTCATTTATGTGGTTTCAGATTCCACATCATCAGTAACATTTAAGAAACTATTAATTGTCGAGCTTTGGCATAATATCAGTGAATACCTACAATTACCTGAAAAGGTATTAAAATACTTCTTTCCCAGCTCCATATGTGTGAGGCTGGATTTTTTTCCCCCTATACTTTAACCAATATAATATATCACAACAGGTTGTATGGAGAAGCGGATATAAGAATCCAGCTGCCTTTCATTAAGCCAAACATTAGATAGGTTGGCAAAAATATAAACAATGCCATTCCTCTTGTTCATTCTTTTGGGATTGAAAAATAGATTTTTCATAAAAATATGTAATCTATGGTAATGTGGTAGATTTATTACTATCTTAGGGGCATTAATAAATAAATAAATTTCTCAGCTTTAATTTCTAATTAGTCTTAGTTTGGGCTGCAGTAACAAAGTTATCATAGGCTGAGTGGCTTAAACAACAAACATTTATTTCTGACAGTTCTGGCAAAGATCCAAGATCAAAGTGGCAGTAGATTGTGGTGATTCCAGGGAAGACTCTCTTCCTGGCTTGGAGATGGCCATCTCCCTGCTGTATCCTACATGGCAGAGAGAAAGTTCTCATGTCTTGTTTCATTTTTACAAGAGCAGTAATCCCATCATGAAAGCCCTACCCTCATGACCTAATCAAACCCTCATTGGCTCCCCAAAGCCCCACTTCCAGATAACATCACACTGGGGATTAGGGCTTTAGCATATGGAATTTGCTGAGCCAAAGACATTCAGTTCTACGGCATGTGGTAACTCTCAATATATCTAATCCATGTAAACAAACAACTATCAGTAGTTAAAACAGTAGAAATTATTAGGGTCCTAAATAATTTTCAAGAGTCATGAAGGGGCTCTGAGATCAGAAGTTAGAGAATGACTGCTCTCTCATATGCCGAGTTTTTGTTCACATTGAAGCAACTCTTATGATCTGGTCACTAATCTGGTTGCTTCTATGTTAAGGGTTTCAATGGGAGCTAAGAGAACTTTGAAAAGTCAGTTCTTCTTGGTAAAGAGTGGCTTTCAACACTATTTCAAAACTTCATCTCAGTAATCAAAAGTGAATATTATCTTTGTATTTTTCTTTGTCTTTGTATTTCTTCTTTCTGCTAGATTGGTCTAATTCTAGGTGCCTAACCCCAGCCCCAACCAGGTAGTTGAAGTCCCAAACTCACTCCAGACAGGTCACTACACAGAAATGGGAAAAAAAAAAAAATCCTACTGTGCTTCAAAGCCATTATTTCAATAATACACATATTATAAAGTGTACAGTATTTAAAAACTGAAATTCTACTGAATATACTCATTTATAATTTGATTTGTCCACTCAGTTATCATGAGCATAATCTCATGTCAGGAAATATTCCTCTAAAGTGTGATTTGTGGAGGTTGTATTTATTGTGTCCCCTCCTCTCAGGAAGGTTTAGTGAGAGGGATGATGTTGATGTTCTAAGAAGGTAACTCAAATGACAATACTGATGGACTGAAGGGGAGCTGTTAGAAATCTACTGCAGGTATCCCTGGGAAGTAGAGGCAGGGGCTCTGGATAAAGCACTGACTTCAGGGCTGTGTTGCAGAGGCAGTGGTTGTACTGGAGGGTGAACCAATGAATGAGAGGAGACAAAAGAGAGAGAGGACCTCTCATGGGTTTTTCTAGCATAGAGATTGAAAGGCCTTTATTAAATCTCTGTGGCAATATTCAGAAGGTAATGGTGAATTTTCATTTTTTTAAAATTTTGAAATGGTCAGCATTTTACTAGCTATTTACCATAAAATGTCAGGTCTACATTGAAATGCTTTCATTTGTATTTACAAAGGACTTGAGGATAACTGTAGTCACAAGCATTATAAAAAATACTGCTACAGCTGTTACTACCACCACTAATGCAGTAGGTAGCCAGATTTGGCAGCCCAGTTTTATCCTGAATTTTAAAATCTTGCAGCTATCATCCAAGAAAATTAAAAACCATGTCATAAACGGTTGAATTTTCAAAAAAAAGATTGGATTTTCTTTTGTCCTTTTCAATGTAAAGATGATTATAGTTATTTCAGGTTCATGGTGCCAAAAATTTAGTCTTAACCTATTTTTATAAAAATTGTATAAAATTTGTACCTCCTATGTACATGCTAAAAATCTCAGGAATAGATAGCTCAGAGCAGGTGTTTCTTCTTCAGGTTATTTATAATAAAACATTTTCAGTGTCGTGGGGGTGGCTCAGGCAGTTAAACATCTGACTTGGGCTCAGGTCATGATCTCAGGTTGTTTGTAAGTACAACCCCCACATCAGGTGAGCCCTGCCTCTCTCTCTCATATCTCTCTCTCTCTCTCTCCCTGTCTCTCCGGCCCTCATGGGATTCTCTCTCTTTCTCTCTTTCCATCCTCGCTCATTTGTGCCGCTCCAAAAAACCAAAGAAAAGAAGAAAACATTTTCAAAATTTTTCTCAATGGTAATATTTCAGTGATCTAAAACTAAGTTTAAGTTAAAAAAATTATTTGCTAGAAAAATGAGCTCAGATTTTAAAATATTTAAAAATGTGTTTTTAGCTTTTAGGAGTATAGTCATTTTATATGTAAGATGATCTAAAGATCATTGTTAATGATCTTTAGTTTTACTATAAAAAATCATAGTCAAAAACATCAACTTAGACATTTATGGTTTCATTCATTTGTTTTTTCATTCATTCACTCTTCAAATGTTCAATGATTCCTATATTTCAGACTCTGGGATAAATATTTACTATACAAAAATTATGATATTTTTCTTTAAGGACCTTGAAAGGAATATGGAAATCAAACAAAATGAAACAACTAGTAAGGAATACTATAAATACTAAAACACAAGTATTTTGTTTTTCATGATATTTAGGATTATCTCAATCAAACTGGGATTTGAAAGATGTAGAAATCATAGCTCTCACTTTAAGGGTGATTATTCTGGAGATAGACTGAATTGCTGGTCACTAGCATCTGGCACCCTCATTGTGGAAGGCTTATGCCTCCCCACCTTGCTGAACTCAGACTTGTAGTGGTATCTTATTGTGGTTTTCTTATTCTATGATAACTAGTGATAGTGAGCACATTTTGGCCATTTTTAATTGGTTAGCTTGTCTTTGTATTATTAATAAAGATAGTGAGAGTTCTTTACCTTTCCTGAATACCAATCATTTGTCAGATAAATGTTCTGTAAATATTTTCTTCTAATTCCTGGTTTAATTTTTTTTTCTTACCAGTGTCTTTGGATAAGAAGAATTTTAAAAATCATGAAATCTACTTATTTTTTTTTCTTTTGTGGCTATTTGCTCTCCAGGGAATCTAAGAAACTTTTGCCTACCCTCAAGTCAAAAGGATATTCTCCTATACTTGTATTAAGTGTTTTAAGGTTTTATGCCTAAGTTTATGATCCATCTCAAATTAATTTTTGTACATACTTTGAGGTAGAGGCCAAGGTTAATTTCTTTCCATGTGGATTTCTAGTGGCTTTAGCAGCATTTTCCCACTGGAATGTTTTTCTGAATTTGTTTATAATTAAAGGATCATATAGGAGTGTATCTATTTCCTTGTGTTTTATTGATTTATTTATTAAATCTTATGCCACTACTTCATTGTCTTGATTACTGTAGCTTTGTTGCAAGTCTTCAAATCAGAGGGTATGTTTCCTTTAACTTCATTTTTTTGGATAGTTTAGGTCCTTTGCAGTTTCACATAAATTTAAAAAACAGCTTTTTTATTTTTACAGAAAACCCATTGGGATTTTGAGTGGAATTGGGTTGAATCTACAGATCAACCCAGGAAGAATTAACCTGTTAATAATATTGAGCCCTCCAATTTATATGCCTGTATTTAAGTCTTTATTTCTTTGTTAAGCTAAATATTATAGTTCTCATTGTAAAATTTTTGCACATTTTTTGTTAAATTTATCCTTTAGAGTTTCAGAGTTTGACACTGTTGTGAATGGACTTTTAAAAATTTCATTTTTCTAGTTGTTTGTTGCTAATATTGAAACATGCAGCTGATTTTTATATACTAACTTTATACCTTGCAATATTAAATTTATATACTAATTCTAGTAGTTGTTTTGCAAATACCTTGGGATTTTCTACATATACTATCATGTCATCTGCAAAAAGAGACAATTTTTATTTTCTTTGTCATAATTAAGCCTTTTATTTCTTTTTCTTGTCTTATCACAACAGCTAAGAACTCCAGTACAATGTTAAATAGAAGTGATGAGAATGAGCATCTTTACCTGGTCTCCATCTTTGGAGAAAAGCCTTTGATATCAGCCTGTGATAGCTTCAATTTCTAGTTTTCTGAGAATTAAAAAAAAATCATACAGTGTCGAATTTTATCAAATATTTTTTCTGCTTTGATTGAAATGATCATATGGTTTATCTCTCTTATTTTATTAATATTTTGAATTACATTAATTGGGTTTTTAATGTTAAACCACTATTACATTCCTTGGTTAAACCTTACTTGTTCACATGTAGTATCCATTTTATACAATGTTAGATTCAGAATTGCCAGTCTCATAAAACAAGCTGAAATGTGTTCCTCCTTCTCTATTTTCTGAAAGATTTTATGTAAGCATAGAAATTATTTTTTCCTAAAATGCTGATTAAATCTACCAGTAAAACCACTTAGGCTGTGAATTTCCTTTGTGGATAATTTTTTTTAAATAAGAAATTAAATTTCTTCAATAAATATATGGTTAGATTTTCTATTTCATCTTATTTATATTTGTTTTGACAAGTTGTACTTACATTTTTAAAAAATATTTATTTATTTTTAAGGGGGACTGAGACAGAGTGTGAGCAGGGGTTGGGCAGAGAGAAAGGGAGACCCAGAATCTGAAGCATGCTCCAGGATTTGAGATATCAGCACTGAGCCTAATGTGAGACTTGAACCCACGAACTGCAAGATCATGACCTGAGCTGAAGTTGGCCACCTAACCTACTGAGCCACCCAGGTGCCCCTACTTTTAAAGTTATTTGTTTATTTTATCTGAGTTGTCACATTTGTTGGCATAAAGTTGTTCATAATATTTTCCTATCATCCCTTATCTATACTGATAGTATCTTTTATTTCTAATGATGGTAATTTGTGCTTTCTTTCTCTCTTGTTCAGTCTAGCAAAAGATTTATCAATTTGTTGTTGATCTTTTCAAAGGACAAAGTTTTGATTGTTTTCTCTATTGTTTGTCTTTCACTTTATTGATTCCTGCTCTTGTCTTTATGATTTCTTTCCTTCAACTTCTTTTGGATTTACTTTGCTCTTTTTCTAGCTTGTTAAGTGAAATTTCGTGTCATCAACTTTAGACATTTTATATATGCTGATAAAATAAGGGGGAATCTAAGCATTGCCTGAGCTGTAGCCAACAAACTCGGATATACTGCATTTTTATTATCATTCAGTATATAATCTTTTCACATTTCTTTTGTAATTTCTTCTGTGACCTATAGTTTATTTATAAGTGTGCTGATTAATTTCTAAATATATGGAGCTTCCTTAGATATCTTATTGTTACTGATTTCCAATTTATTTCCTTTGTGGGCAGGGAACATGCTCTGGTTTTAGTCTTTTAAAATTTATTGAAACTCATTTTATAGTTTAGAAAATGATCAGTTTCTGTGAGGATTTTTACATCTTTGTTTATGAGAAATATTGGCCTGTAGATTTTCTTTCTTTTGATGTTTTCATATGCTTTTGGTAATATCACGTCATAGAATGAGTTTGGAAGCTTTCCTTCTGCATTCTGCAAGAGATCGTGGAAAACTGTGTCATTTCTTCCTTACATCTTTGATAGAATTCACCAGCAAAATCATCTGGGCCTGACACTTTCTTTTTGAAAGATTATTGATTACTGATTCAATTTCCTTAGTAGATATGGGGCTATTCAGGATATCTGTTTCTCCTTGTGTGAGTTTTGATAGTTTGTGTCTTTTAAAAAAATTGGTCTATTTCATCTAAGTTGCCAAGTGTTGAGGCACCAAGTTGTTTGTAGTATTTTTTAAGTCAGCCTTTTAGCATCAGTGGGATCAGTAGTGATCCTTCCTTCATTTATGATATTAATAATTTAAAATTAACAATCTAAATATAGGTTGTCTCTTGCTGACTACAAGTTTTCTGGATTGAACATTTCTCCTTTTCTTTTTTCCTTTTTTAGTCTATAAAAGATTTATATGCCAATCAAAGCTAACCTTCCCAATGTGTCTTTTGGATCTTCATCTTCTTCCTCCTCATAAATTTTCCTCCATTAATCTTTCGTTTTCCTCCATGTCTTCAACCTATTCAGTTTTGTTGGTTGTTCATACACATATATACACACATATACATATATATGTACACATTTGTCTAACATACATACACACTTGTCTCTCATCTTCAAATAAAATAAAACCGTATAGGTCTACCATCCTATATTTTCCCTTCTATAGCCAAAATTCCTAAAAGAGTGATCTGTATTATCTAAGTTCTTCATCCTTCATTTCACTCTTTAGTGAACTCAGTCCGACTCTCACAGGCCACACAACCAGATATGTACAAGTTACACTTTCTTTGGTTTTCTGTAACATAACTTAATGACTTATTCACCAATTGTGAGTAAACTCAGTCATTCTGGGTTTTCTCAGTTTCTCATAGGAAGTTTTGCCAATTTTAGGGTTCATCCTTTCCTACCTTTCTTTCTTTTAGGTTCTGGGCAGCAGAAACAGCATCACAGCCTCTAGAAGGAAGTGCTTACTCCAAGGACTTCCTCTGGCTAGTGGGGCCACCTCTGAGTTCTCTATCGCTCTACCATTTCTGGCTGTAGATACTAGTCACTCTGGCATCTTCTGAGCAAAATGCTATTACATCATAGTGTCTCTCTTTGGGTCCACATGACAGGGGTTGTCCTCACCCCCGTGGATCCCTTTAGGTCAGCTGCCTGCTCACCGCTTTTCCTTGTTGCTCTGGGGGACACAGGGTGCAGGGGACTGTGGCAGTTTTTGTGCAGTTCTCTAGAGATGACAGACCTGTCTCAGGTTCTCTTTCCCAGATGTGCTTGCTCACCTACCATTCTGGCTCTTTCTTTTTTTATTATTATTTAACGCCAGCAAGTTCTTAATAATTGCTTAAGAAAGTATATAGATTAGGGGGCATTAATGCTGTTAAAACTGCTCACTCACTTTTTTATGGAGCTAGCATGAGATTAAATCATTTGGATTGTTCTTTTATAAAAGACATTCCGTATGATTACAGAATATCAGAAAGGAATGTTTTCTTTTAATCACATCTTTAATTTCTCTATAATAAAGTAAACCACAGGTGTAAAAGTCACTTATTTGACGGTTTCATTTTTGCAAAGCCTCTTAACTATTGGCCTTTTTTTTTTTTTTTTTTAACTTTTTGGAGCTGCAGGGAAATTTAGAGATAACTAAATCCCCTTCTGATTTTCCATAGAAGAAAACTGAGGGGCACTAGAGAAAATGACTTGCCCCAAATTAGACAGAGGTTAGATTTGGCCAGGTCCCCCAGTTCCCAGTCTGGAGTTCTTTCTAATTCATTGTGGTCCGCCCTCTCTACATACAACTGCCAAATAAATCTTCCTGGACCACTGCTTTGAACTTGTCATTCTCTTATTCAGAAGCTCCCAGTGCCTCTCTGTGGACTGCTAAATAAAGTGCTAACTCCTAAACCCAGCAATAGTTCTGTAATCTCTTCTCTCAACCTACCTTCCTTCTTCCCTCCACTCACATACCAGCTAGTTTGGACTACTGTCTGCAATCAGAGACCACCCTGTGCTTTTTTTTAAACACATCATTGCCTGTATCATTTGCTCTTTGCCTTGAAAGATTTTCTTTTCCTATTCCTCCACTCTAGTAGGAACCCAGTGCAAGCTTTAAAATACAGTTTGAATGCCACTCCTTTAATACATTATTCCTGAGTTTCTCCAACTGTGGATGTGATTTCTCTTTCTTTCAAATTATCATAAAGTGTTCTTTGATGTTATTGTGTTAAATTTATCATATTCTGAGTTAAAAATTTTTGCATTTTCTTTTCTAAATTATATGATCTTTGATACAGAATCTTATTTATATGCCTATCTTCTACACAGTTTACATGTACAAAAAGGGGAGCTAAGTAAATATTTTAAAATTAAATTAAACATAATGGGAAAATATGAAAAATAAATCAGCACAAACAGAGCTAGAATAATATAAATTACTTTTAAGAAAATTTAGTAGCTTTATTTTCTCTGAGTTTCTGCCACAAACTACTCAGAAAAAATGGATGATTCACTTCTTGAAAGAGCATCTTAAATTAAATTTTAGCTTGCAGTTTTAGGGAATATGAAAAGGCTTTCAAATATCCCTATGAAAGGGATAATGAAAGCCTGTTGTTAGCTTTTATAGAATTATTTTTGTTCAGCCTGAGTTATAGGTAAGAACAGACTAGACATCTAGGATTGCCTCAGTTAGCTTCTCTAACTCCTGAGCCAAGTGTAGATTTAGCTCCATGAGGAAGGTTATCAGCTTCTCATGAGGTCACTTGCATCAGCAAAATTGAAAGCTTGGAGGCCATGAGAGATAGGTACAGGATACACTTTGTCCCGATCTCCTCCTCCACTTTATGTCTATCTTTCCTTCCCAGCTGCCTACTTTGCTCACTTCAGGACCATTCCAGACACAAAAGCAACAGCCATATATAGACTATTTAGCTAGTTGCCAAATGGTATAAGGTCAAATCCCTACAATAAATCTTTTATTGTGTTGTATATCACTCCTTATGGTCTAATTGTTGATCAGACTCTGACTGATACAAAATTTGATACTGAGGAACAAAAACCAAGCCTTAAGGATGGATTTTCTAAATTGATTCTGGCTGATCTGAAATTGGTTCTCTTAATCAATTAGATTTAAAAGCATTAATGGCACTGCTTACAGTGATAAGAAGAACACTGGTAGTTCGTCACATTCCGTGGCAAGCATTTAATTAAGTTTTCATCTGTAATAAAGTGGTCATAGAAGGTATGGCTTTAGGTGGTCAAGTATTTGCTACCATGTTAGAATTTTTTTTCACTAATATGGAGTATAATAGTATTGGTTCATTCCTTCTAAGTATGCTAGAGAGCTTGAGAAAAGAAAATGATAAATTCAGTACTTTCAACTTTCAGTACAAGATCTATATAAGGGAACTGAAAGTCTATGAGTGCCCGCCAACCTCCAAACCTTTATATTCTGTACATGCAGGGCTGAGATTTCTGAAATCAAACCCAAAATCTAATCCTGTAGGTAGCTGCATCATAAAATAAAATGAA